CTCTACACGAAGCACCATCGTCGGGGTCATAGCACGGCACAGATAACGCGAGTTCAGAACGAGCACAGTCGACCAAAGCAGAATTCGACGAAAGAAAGTCCCACCCAAGAATAACGTCATGTGAAGAACGGAATAAAACTACAAATGTGACGACGTACATCGCACCTTGAATGACGACTCGTGCAGTGCACAAAGCTGAAGGCTGAAAATGATGGGACGTAGCTGTCTGCAAAGATAGGTCGGTAAGTTGTGTGGTCACTTTCTTCAAGTTTCGGCACAGTTTCTCGCTAATTACAGATACGGCAGCTCCAGTGTCGACAAGTCCGTGCACCTTAATGCCATCAATATAGAGTTCGATTTCGTTCGGGGGACAGCAGTTAGGTCTTGAAATTTTCGCTGCCAACGCAGTTCTTGCCTCCGGAACTGCGCCCGTCAGTTTTCCCCTCGTGGTGGGCTGTTGCGACGTAACATCGGAGAAATAGATCGACGACGAGGAGAAGGTGAACGACTTAAGCCGGATGGTCGGCGACCGGGACGTACGTCTCGAGGTGGATCGGCAGGAACGGGATATCGCGGCTGAGTGGGCATGTAATGTGAGGCCCCTGCAATATCGTGAGAAGGGAAGCTGCGACGTCGGCAGTGACGAGCTACGTGGCCTGGGATGCCACATGAAAAACATATCAGCCGATTATCCGGAGTGCGCCATTGGCTGACGATAGGGGCATTGTTCGCTGAATAAGGTACCGTAAATGGTCGTGCAGGCGGCGGCGTCATATAAACGTTCTGACCTGTTTCATATACAGCCGGAGACGGGACGGTCAGCGAGCGGGAAGGTGGCGTCGACGAATAAACGTGGCGAGTAGCTTCGTAGATGGTAGGAGACGCTGGCGCACGTGGCCGAGCAACTGCGGCTGCATACGTTAGTGGTGCGGTAACAGTTGGTGGAGCCTGAGCTGGCGGCAATGCTTCGGCAACTTGCGATTGAATGACCTGGCGAAGCGAAGGCGACAAGGGTGGCATCGTCTTGGTAGTTCTTGTGACTATAGATAGCTGCCGGGCGACCTCCTAGTGTATGAATTGCTTTATGACTGGCATCAACGCAGAGTGGTCGGCGGTGTCATGGCGATAGTCGAGGGATGAGATGTCCGCGGTGTCTTGAGCAGCGCAACGTGTAGAAGCGCGCTGCCTACGCAGCTCATCATAGTTTTGACAGAGCTGAATCACCTCGGCGACCGTCTGGGGACTCTTCGCAGCCAGCATTTGGAATGCACCGTCGTCGATTCCTTTCATGATGTTCTTGATCTTGCCTGCCTCGTCCAGAGTCGAATCGACGAGCTTGCAGAGAAATAGCACATCTTCGATGTAGCTTGTGAAAGTTTCATCTGCTCTCTGTACTCTGCCCCGCAAGCGCTGTTCAGCACGAAGGCGGCGGACAGCACGACGGCCAAACACTTCCGCGAGGGTTTTCGCCAATTCTGACCAGGTACTGAAATCACTTTGATGATTTCTGTACCATAGTTTTGCCACGTCGGTCAGGTAAAAACTCACATTTGTGAGCTTATCGGCTGCGTTCCACTTATTGACGGCGCTCACCAGTTCATACTCGGCAATCCAGTTGTCCACATCTTGGTCCTCTGTGCCACCAAATATGGGGGGGTCGCGCTGCCGGAGAGCGCCAGCGCAGAAGACAGGCACAGGTGCGAGATCTGGAGTAGCAGCATGAGATGGCCCCGGATCAGTCATTGTAGGAGGTCGTTGGAGTGTGCGGCTGCGAAGTTCCAGGGTGAGGACCAAATGTACCCAGCACCTCCACCACTTGAAACGGGTTGTTGAACAAGCAGGAGTTGACTCGGCGAAGGGGAGCTTTATTTAGCGCAAGGGCTAACTGAACGCAAGCCTGCGATCACAGCAAGTCTTCTTCCTTTTCTATCCTCGAGCTCCATGCCCACTGCCCTCGTTACACAAAGTAAGCGTGCGCCGGTGTGCAACGGCGGTGGAAGAAGCGTGCAATGTGGCCAGCGATACCACACGCGAAGCAGATAGGACGGTTCTCATGCGCTCGCCACTCATTAAATGGACAAAAAAATCGAGGTGGGGGCCTGTAAACTAGAGATGAGACAGGAGGAGGTGGAGCCGATAAGAAGACTGGATGCGGTGGGGGCCGCACGACTACAGCTGCGTAGCTGAAAGGTGAAGGTGGCGCAGGTGGTGCGTAGCCACCCGTTCAGAGATCAGATGATACTGGTGTATGAATAAGTGGCCGCAATCGTAGGGAGGGCATCGCAAACTGCAGTGAATAAGCCTGCTGCAGTGTCGAAGGCAGGCTTGCGGTGGGCGCGTCGCTACGCGGCAGCAGGGAGAGCTGTTGGGCGACTTCTTCCGTGATGAAGTTTCTGATCTGGTTGCAAAGAGTTCTTTGGCGAACGTTGTCATTTGCGAGTATGACGACCGAGATCGGATCTGGTGGTGGGGCACTATGTCAGGCGATGGAACGCTGATGATGCAATTAATAGAACCTCTGGCACAGGCTTACGAAGACTGTACCGTGATCGGGCTTTTCTTCAGCAACATCTGGAATGCCCCATCCTCGATGCCCTTGAGAATGTGTCGAATTGTATTTTCTTCAGGCATCGATGTGTTCACACTCCTGCAGAGGTCGAGCACATCCTCAGTCTAACTAGTAAACGTCTCGCCAGTATACTGGGCTCGATGGTGTACAGGCTGGTCAGCGCGGAGCTTGCGGACGTCTGGTTGGCCGAACGCTTCGGTCACGAGGGTCACAAAGGTAGTACAGTTGGCGATGGTTGTTTCGCGGTTGGTAAACCAAAGCTTAGCGACGTCCGCCAAGTAAAAGATAACATAGGCGAGCTTAGAGTCACCATCCCACTTGTTACTGGCGCTTACGTGTTCGTACAAGGAGAGCCAGTCCTCGACATATTGCTCACCACTGCTGCTGAAGATTGGTGGGTCCCGTTGACGGGTAGCACCGAGGCAGGTAAACGGGGCAGCCGATGGTGCTGGCTGTGCTGGGATGGGCTGGTTGGCTACTGGATCAGTCATGTTGTGCGGTGTTTTCTCGTGAAACTTGCGAGAGTGGAGCTCCAGGTCTGTTGGGGATCTCAGCAACATCCAACAAACGTGATGGTGCTTATTTAACAAGAGAAGTCGCAACGAGGTCACAACAAAACATGGCTGACGGCAAAGTCTGGCAAAGGCGGAGCAGGCTCTCGCGCTATCAGAGCACGGGGCTTTTCGTTCTATTATGAAGGCGCACACACGTTGGTGCGTATGCTTCCCTACAGCAGCATTTTCTGCTTCTTTCCCCAAGGAGGACATATGGGCAAGTTGGTATTCGACGATTAAGAATCGTATTACGGTACTAAAAACGAAGAGACATAGAAGACACACACACACATACATAAATAGCAACTGCATCCTTCACTCGTTTTTGTGCAAAACGCCACACGTTAAGGGAAGTGAACTGACTAGCCTAAAAAAAGACTAAAACTTTTATTAACGTACATATTTCTACCGACATGCATCTCTCAATCTTCATCATCAGCCTGACTACAGCCACTGCAGAACAAAGGCACCTACGTGTCGCGCCAATCAACTCATTCCTGTGCTTACCGCTACCACTTTATACCCCCAAACTTCCTAATCTCTTCTGCGCACCTAAATTTCGGTCTCCCTTTCACCTACTTGCCTTCTCTTGGAATCCAGTCTTTGATGCTTAATGACCAGCGGTTATTTTTCATTCGCTCTATGTGCTCTGCCTATGACGTTTTCTTCTAGATTGACACTACAACGCCCCGCCGCGATGGTCTAGTGGCTAAGGTAATCGGCTGCTGACCCACAGGTCGCGGGATCAAATCCCGGCTGCAGCGGCTGCATTTCCGATGGAGGCCTAAATGTTGCAGGCCCATGTGCTCAGATTTGGGTGCACGTTAAAGAACCCCAGGTGGTCGAAATTTTCGGAGCCCTCCACTATGGCGTCTCTCATAATCATATGGTGGTTTCGGGACGTAAAACCCCACATATTAATATACACTACGATGTCCTCAACACCAGTTTGTTGTCTGATACATTCTCATCTTTTCTTGCTTCTTGCGTTACACCTATCATTTCTCCTGCCCATTCCTCGCGTCGTTGTCCCCAGCTTATCTTGAACGCTCTTTCTAATCCTCCAGATTTCTGCTTCGTTATTTAGAACCAATAAGATGCAGCTGGTATATACAATTCTTTTGGGGGATAGTGGCAATTTATGGTACACGGCTGCTGACCCACAGGTCGTGGGATTAAATCCCAGCTGCAGCGGCTGAATTTTCGATGGAGGCGGAAATCCTGTAGGCCCATGTGCTCAGATTTGGGCGCACGTTAAATAAGTGGTCAAATTTTTCGGAGCCCTTCACTACGGCGTCTCCCATAATCATATGGTGGTGTTGGGAGGTTAAACCGCACATATCAATCAATTATTCATGTTTTGAGAATGCTTTCCGAATGTGCTCCACCCCAGTCTTGAAGTTTCAGTTATTTTGCTGTTCTAAAATGCTTAATTACTCACAATAACTCGGTTTTTTTCCCTGCATCAAGCCTGCCAGAGGGAAGTTTGCGAACAAGCCCTAAGCACCCCGTAGCTCAAACGTAAAATACTGGGCTGGCACGTAGCCGTCTGGGCACCAGCCCCATTGGGTCCTTGCTACTAGGTTTTATCTTACTTTGTGCGATGTGGTTATGGACACTGCCGGTGGCGGCGGACAACCATGGCGCCGCGCGTGACCCGAGTTGTGATCCCATAACAGCTTTCGCAGTAAAAAACAAAAATCGTCAGTGTGATTGCACTCCTCTTGGTATTCTAGTTTTGAGTATGTCGCACCATTCAGCGACGCTGAATGAAGCGCACACTGTGCTGGCATTTTTTATTCTTGTTATCAATTCACACCTTATATGCAGGTCCAAGATAATTCCTAACTCAAACTTTTTTTTCATTTCCATACTAGGATACTCGTCATGAACGAAGGAAGTGTCACCCAATATGGAACTTTGGATGAACTTCTCGAAGACAGCACATCTATGTTCTATGAAATGGCAGCAAAAGCTGGAATCGCATCTCACCGCGGCGGAGGGAAGGCTATGCTCGCTTCTACCGAGCCCTGTACGCACCTCTGACATCTCAGAGCCGCAAGGAACGAAGCTGGTCGTGAGCTCGCCATCAAGCTCACAGCAGCATCTCACAAGAGCAGCTAACCTGGCTAGCAGCTAGCTCACCTCACGCTCTTTTAGGATGAGGACTGCCACGCTACATAGAACAATTTGCAATGCATAATTTACCAGAGGGCCTTTATATAGCAGGCCCACAATGTCACGAGAAGACACCTAGAAAATACACAGTTTTCTGAATAAACATTCTGTAGACGGCACGTACTCTGGTAATCGATTTTATACGAAGCATTCAAATGTAGTTTTTCAGCGACGTAATGTTCTATTAAGGGGAAAGTCTTGAAGTTTTGCTAGAGATATATAAAAACGCACCCAGATAGTTACCCCAAACAGCTGCATTTCCTTTATGTAACTGGTTTTTTGAAGTTCTAAAATTAATACAATAACGACATGGGCATTGTGACGTGGAACAAGGCAGCAGGAGACACGGCCTGAATGAAACTCTTTATTTGACTGAACTTGTGGCTGAGTTACACAAAGTCACACTACAACAAAACACACTGTACAACAATAGCGGCAATCAAGACGTCCATCGTCGATAATCTAATCAGTGGCAAGACATGGCAACATTTCTACATGCGGCGTTGAACATTCGAGCTTTGACACTAGCAGTCATGTTAGTTCTATATTGAACTCAGCTGTTCGCGTTCGCGCGCTGACAAGCTTGCGGAATGATTTCCAGTTAATTCGAAAGTTTCTCAGACAGTTTGGTAGGGTTTGCGGAAGCCATCTTGTACACGTGCAGTAGACCTGCAGCATAAAACATAGAAAGAAAGAAAGAAAGAAAGAAAGAAAGGAAGAAAGAAAGAAAGAAAGAAAGAAAGAAAGAAAGAAAGAAAGAAAGAAAGAAAGAAAGAAAGAAAGAAAGAAAGAAAGAAAGAAAGAAAGAAAGAAAGTAGCATTTTGAAATATTAGCGACACAAGAAACGGAACGCTGACGCGAAGTGCTGGTGCTAGAGAGGACGTTAGTGGTGGAGAATGCCATATAAGTCAACTCAAGCAGATGGCACGTAATTTGTACGGATGTTATCGTGGCGGGACGGCTGTATCATGGAAGTAAAATACTTTGTTCAGTTACATGAACGTTATCAATAATAACAATATTAACGTCATAAAAACACGATCTCATTATCAGAGACGCCGTCATGGAGGGCTCCGGAAATTCCGAACACCTGGCGATATGAACCGTGTATTTCTTCAACGTGCACCTAAACCAAAGAAGATGGTTCTCAAACGTCTTCGTCTCCATCGAAGATCCAGCCATAGCAGGGGGTATTTCATCACGCGACCTTCAGGTTAGCAGTCGAGGGCCATAATCTCAAGGTTTCTGCGCCTAGGGCTTTCACTAAAATTAGGTTTTATTCAGAAAGTAGTTCTGTGACCTGGAGTGGTTCTGTGGTGAAATACTTGATTGCCATACTGAATTCGAGGTTCGACTCCTGAAGGGACGCCGACAGTTCATTTTTTGCATTTGTCGGTTAAGGCAGCCAATTTTCGTAACACTCATGCTTTATGGCGCATGCAAACTTCACAAGTGAAGAGAAACGAAAACGCCAGAGCGGTCAAAAAACCACGGCCGCGCGCGTCGAAGATGTTCACAATCGTTCTGCCCCATCTCACCGCTGCTGCCATCGATACCTTTACAAATAGTTTAATTTTGCCTGCTTTCTGAGAAATAAAGCTCCAACGAACCTAGTTATTCATGCAAAGGAGTGAAAAGAATCATCTCGCATCTTTTCAAACATTTTTTCTGGAGATAAGCCAGCAGAAACGACACGAGCAAACGCACTTGCAGTGGTGGCGGCGTATTCAGCTGGCTGTACAGAAACGCGAAAGACGTTGGGGCATGCTGACTCGCTGCCGCTGCACCGTCTACTTCCTGAGTTCTCGGCGACCGCAATCCAAGTCAGGTTCTCGATGAATGCGTCCTCGTTGAGGCCATCAAGCTTCTTCATGCTGCACGGGTAGTTTCCAATTTTAGCCGATGCGAGCCGCCGGTGATGCCTGTGCCACCATGTTGAATTTGCGGCAAAGTGTGGGATTGGGCTAGTTGGTAATCAATTCTTAAACTTCTGAGCGCAAGAACTTCCGACAGCTAACACAAGAGACTGAAGCACGAGCGCGGATCTGCGGGCAGCTGGTTAGGTAACGTTGTTTGATCTAGCACAGCCAAGGCTGTGAAGCGGAACTCGGATCCGGTTTCGCGTGGCGGGAAAATCGCTCTCGGATCAATTCTTGCGCGCCGGCCGCACAGCGTGGTTTTCCGGCCACTTGGGCGGTGAAACGAACCAGTTTTCGGAGAGTTTCGTTCGTTTCGCCTCTTCAAGACTAAGTGCGAATCGCGCCAATATAATAACCGCAGGCATGTACGTGCCACAAAAGTGCGGTCTTGTGCCACATGTGTTTGAAAGCTTACAGGAAGAACGAGAGCCAATGTGGGTTATGTGCGATACGTCTAGAGTAAAAGGTTGGACAGTGTACGGTATGACATTGTGGCGCGTCATGGGCAGCGAGTCATATTCGTGAAATTCTTTGCAGTCTTTAGATACTAATTTTGGTTCGCCCTAAGTTAAGGGGTAATCACGCAAGCATCTAGACGTGGGTGACTGAAAAGATAGATTGATAGATAGATAGCTAGATAGATAGATAGATAGATAGATAGATGATAGATAGATAGATAGATAGATAGATAGATAGATAGATATAGATAGATAGATAGATAGATAGATAGATAGATAGATAGATAGATAGATAGATATAGTAGATAGATAGATAGATAGATAGATCGATAGATAGATAGATAGATAGATAGATAGATAGATAGATACCAACAGACAGACCAAGATCTAATAAATTGAGCCTTCAAGGCTCTGGCGAAAAGCGATGGAAAAAGGTGATGCGAGTGACGTCAGCATAGGAGTTATGGGAACTGCGATTGAAGCGCTACTATGCGTGAAAAATCCATCAAACTTAGGTTTTCGCTCACAAAGATAAAACAAGTTGTTTCAATGTCGAAGCAGTCAATAGGTTTTACTAATGAGATTTCTTTCGCAATGAAATTATTAGGTTTAATGAACAAAGAGCTCGTGACGGTTTTTATTATTACGAACAATCTTTCTAGCACCCTCGGCCCACACTATTATTACTCAGTGCAGCCTTCGCACTACATGAGTACACATGGCACGGCCAACTCGTAGGATTCGTCCACAAATACATACCCCCTCACAAGATTTAGTGTTCTGCACTTGATTCCGTTCTCTGTACTGCGCGAAATATAGGTGCACTTTATCGTTGGTGAATGCGATCAAGGTAGTGTCCAACGGGCAGCGGAATGGTGCGAAATACATTTAACGCTGCGTGCTTTCATCGCTAGCTGCGGAAACAATCTGCTTTGCAAGGATGCAGCAGCAGCAAGCGTATGCCTAATGACCTGTGTCTTATAGATGAAAAACGAGGGCAGCTGCTCAGCACCACTTCTTATCACTGTTCAGCACAATCATACAGGTACCAATAAAGGCCTTATTCAGGACCTACTCGGTACATTGTCAGCGCTACTTCTGTTGATCTCCCATGCTACACTGGTATGAATAATTGAGTCCTCGACTTCCAAACAACGAAAGTGGAACTGAGGTCTGCGTATTCACAACTGAGACATCACACAGCGCCTGACCTAGATAAAATTACAAATAAAATCTTTCGAAACCTTTACGAACAGTGACTTGCAACGCTCACATCTTATCTGCAAATGGTTTGGCAGTCTAGAGAAATACCAAATTATGGGAAATCGTCACAGTCATTCTGTGAACTAAACCAGGAAAACCACTCACTATTGAAACTCTTTGGCCAATATTTCTCACATATTTTGTTGGGAATGTACTCGAGCACGTTATCACACTCGTCTACATGGGTACGAGTAAGAGCATGCCTTCTACCCGCATACAATGTTCAGATTTCCCCCCCCCCCTCAACTTTCAACACAAGACGTAATGCAGCAATTGAAGAGCCACATTATATATGGGGAGTAAGGCTCTCGGTTTGGGACGCGCGCTATTCTGGGGCTAGACCTCATCAAGACATTTGACAATGTGCTACATTTATTCATCCTTGAAGCCCTCGCCACGCTGAACGTAGGCACCCGTACCTACTGCTACATCCCGCATCATTTTAACGGACAGGACCGCCACACTCTCGGTCAACAATTTGCTTGCACCTTCCATCACTCTCGGTGCCAAAGGGACACCACAGGGTCGGTGCGCTCTCCATTTTTTTCCACCTAGCCATGCTTCACCTTCCGCTTTTCTTCAAATATCCCTGACGTCCACCATAGCATATGCGCCGACGATATCACGTGTTGGATTGCCAGAGGTAGCGATGTAGAGATTAAGCCTGCACTTCAATCAGCTATTGAAAGAATAATAACTTACTCCAAACCACGAGGATTACCCTGCTCGTTTCAAAAGTCAGAGTTACTCATGTATTGATCTATATCTCCCTACAACTGAGACCTTCCCATGATAAACCTGCATGCGCAAAACCAACCTATACGAACAATCCATACCATTCGCGTTTTGGGCTTCCGCTTTCAGCAGAACGGCGGCAATTCGGAAACAATGCAACTACTACGCTTTCATGTCTATAAGGCTACTCGGCTCATCTCCCATTTTGCAAATAAACAGCATGTCATGAAACAGGTCAATTTCATACGACTGGTGACCACCTTCTCCATGAGCAGAATACCTTACCTTTCTCCATTTTTAAAACTTACGCTCGTTGACAAAAACAAATCATAATAGGCTGGCACTGCTACAAGTGCGCGCTGAATTTCCCCGTGTTTACGTCGAGTGCGAAACTCAATGAACTATGACTTCCTAGCACTATAGAGAAATTCATTGAAGCCCAACGTATATCGAACTATGAACAATTAGGCCAAACTCCCACAGGACGTCATCTCATGTGCGCATTTGGCATACCTTACGTCTCCTAGTTTGGCCGGAAACTCGCGATTCCTCCGGAAATTTCCGACACGGTCATCATTCGCCCCATACCACGCAGTATGCACCCTGAATATAACCCGTAAAGACGAGTAGACAGCGCCAAGCAACTAGGCAAGCACAGTTGCGTTCGGCGGGCAACCCTTTTGCCACGGCCACCTGAACAGAAGAAAGGAAGCTGCCTCATTTTCTGGAGATAAGGAACAGAG